GTAGTAGTAGTAGTAGTAGTAGTAGTAGTAGTAGTAGTAGTAGTAGTAGTAGTAGTAGTAGTAGTAGTAGTAGTAGTAGTTTTAATATTCATTTATTTATCATTGACTTATAAATATTTTGATTTACAAGCTAATTAGTTTGTCACAGGACATTTCTCATTTAATAAATTGAGGCGAAGCATACTATTAGCTCTATGTGGCAAGGAAGTCGCAGCAGGCTCATACTAAATTACAGTAACATAGAAAACACATCATACGATCACGATCATTTACATGCGTAGTTAGACGTCATGCGAGTGATAGTTCTATTTCGGCACTAGGTCAAGCTATCGGCTTGAGAAAACTTGTTCACTAATCTCTATCGATAGCCAGGCGCATGTAAACAGATCTTACACATGGCTAGGAGGTTTGGTTTATCACTATGACGAAGTGCACAAAGGGAGAGAACTTTGTAATCGGCCTGAATATCATACGTATACACTATATATATATATACTAGAGTGTAGACACTGTTCTAGGTCGGTGCATAACCCGAACCGACTCATTAGCATATAGTAGCTTCGAATCGAGGTACCAAAGGATAGTTTCTTTAGAAATGTTTTTCCAACTAGTGTTCGTACTGGCAGCTGCATACGTAATCTTCAATGTATGTTATTCGCGCACTCCACGACTGAGCTGTGGCCAATATGCACAAGCAGGTAAGAAACTAATCAGAAACATATAAGCCAGAGTATATTAACCCAACGTTTAGACTTTAGCGTGATTTAAATATTTCGTGCAGCCTAGCTGTGAAGGCACCACTGATCGTGATTCTGCATAGAATTGCAACAGCGAATTCCGTGCATTTTGTATTCATGCACGTGTGCATCATTTCGAGATAAATATGGTGAAAATATAATATATAAGTGCATTTGCATCCACATTTGAGTAGAGGGACAATAAAGGAGTGAGGCAGACTTATGCAGAAGGTGTATGAACATAGCGTACACACAGAATATATAGCCACATACATGTTAGCTTTGCGGATTTTGTAAAATCACAAGAATCATTAAAGACTATTGGAATCTTTTATCACATACACTTGATAATACTTGTTAATACTTATAACTGAATAATAAAATCATAAACTTTTCATTAGCATTGCAGGCATCGACTTAAATTCGTTAGGGAGGGGCTATTTCATAATTTAGTTTTTCTATTCACACATTGAACGGAACGCTTGATTCAATGCACAACACTGGGCGATGTATTGACAGGTCCTTGGTACGCTATCAAGTATGTAGTCGTGTACATCTACTGTGTGGTTTGGAGATGGAGGCGGCCTGACGACGGACTACGACCACGAGTAGACCGCCTGCGAATTAACTTACAAGATATCGGTGCTCAAGAAGAACTAACGCAACCACTAGACGCCGATCAAAATGTAGGCGTATATATATATATATACATATATATATATATATATATACAATTATTCAAGCCAACTGGGCATGACTATACGTATAGCGCAGAGACCCCAATTGGCTTATAGTTTTATTTCATTCCTAGTTTGCATTTTTCACAGCCATTTTTTATGTGTGAATTGGACTTACGCGCTCGTGCCGACTATGCTTAGCTATCATGTGTAGTTCCGCATGATAATGTTTTTGTTGAACATCCTCGTCGATGCATATTGTGTTACATCATCCACGCTCATCGTATATATCCACCTCACTGTACCCTTTTCGTGATTTTGGCAGAGTATATGTCGAGACAGCCCCATGGGCCATGTGGACCATGGCATGCTAAATACTTACTTGTTGGCAGGCATTTATGACTGTGTATCCTTTAAGGAGTGGACAGCGTGGAAAACATCGTTGGTGGCGGTATCAGCGGCGTCTACATGGAAAGAACTGGCAGAAGGTGGCGAATGGTAGGATCCAGCATTATAAGAGTTGCAGCCTAGGCGTTACACCATTTCCCGCCGAAGTGTGCAGCATACAGTACCGCGGCAGATATTAGTATTAGTGACTGCGAAGTTCGTTGTTGCTTTTATCTAAAAGCTTTTAAAATTTTAAGGCGGAAGGCGGGCTATGCAAGTTTAGAGACCAATAGTGAGAAAGCAAGAGTGAGGCGACAGGGAGAAAAACGAGTGGATAGACGGCATAGATGAGAGAAGATGTAGAGGAAGGGCTGAGAGAAACGAGGTGGAATAGGGGCGCGGTGGGCGTCAGGCGAGGAGAGTGGATGGAGAGGAGATAAGAGATAGAGAGGAGGAGAGGAGGAAATGGAAGGGGAATGGGAGATAGGGCAGCGGAGGGATGAGAGGAACTCTATTAAGGAGATGTGCTCATGGTGTGTGAACGAGTCTATCTCTCTCGACGCTGTGATTCTGACGTTTCTCACTTGTTGATTTGCCCCGGGGCCTTCGATGGGCTGTACAGTCCCTTCCTGGTGATCGTCTGGGGAGGTTTGCTTCGTCTCGGCCGCTTTGATTCGGGCTCGGGAGGAGATAGAATGGAGGAGATGAGACCGACAGAGAGATGTAATGAAGAGGAAAGGTGAGAGAACGGACGAGAGCCGAGCAGACAGCGAGTGCCCATGCTAGCGAGCGAGATATAGAGAAGAAGAGAGAGAGCAGGAGGAGAGAGGAGAGAGAAATTGAGACAGAGAAACAACAAAGATAGGCGAAAAGATGTGGTATCAACAGTATGCCGTGAGAGAGGAAGAGAGTGGGAGAGAATAGACGTGTTAAATCGATGAGTTGATGCAGCCTATCTGCTCTCCAGGTTATGCGGTTGACTGCCTGAAGCGTCGGAGCGCGACGGAGCGCTTACTTTCATCCCCAGGCACCTGTCGCCCGTCACACAACTGTCGCTACTAGAACATCACGCCGGCAACGCGGCGACACAACATTTCACCGCTGCAGGTCCTGGGTAGGAGTTCGGCCCGGGCGCGGCAATCGGCTGTCTTCTTGGGATGAGTCGGCTCTGTTGAAAGTTCTCAGCTCCATGCTGATAGCGTGTCGAAGCTGACATTCAGATGGCACGCTCAGTATAATTGCTTCCAGATAAATCGCAGTCCACTGGACGCGGTGCTGTGTTAGTCACAACGACTGAGTACGCGGGCTCTCTCCTCTCTTGCTGTCTTTATGCATATTCGTTTTTTTGATTATTTCAAAGGACAAGGTCAAAGAAAGATGAGCTGGGAATATAGAGGCGGATGAAAGGCGATTCTTAGTCGCCGCACGTGTTCAATCTTGCATTCTGTGACGTATACGGTCATCAGTATCTAGACTTTGATGGTTTGTGTTCTTTTCTTTCTGCGCGGTCACTGTCTTTCCCTCGTATTATGCTACCAGTCTGATCTGACTCGAACCCATTCGTCTTATCGTATTGGTGAAGTTAGCTTTGGAACGCAGTTCGTATGCTTACTCATTTGGATGCGACTTGGCCGGTAACGCGCATGTATCTCCGCGCAGGCCGGTGAGTTAAACTCTGGTGTGGGAGGGCCCCTTTGAGCGGGTTTATGCAAGCACACGTGAGCGAGTGAGTGCGTAATTACCTCCGCCAGGGGCTTGGCGGCAGCGTAATGGTTCTTCCACCGGCGCTTGTTTTGTGGGGGTTTGTGGTCTTGTGGGTTTTGTGTGTACCTAGCCTAACTGCCGAAAAAGTTATGGATGTGTACGGATTGTGCATAGAAGTTGTTCAGATAGTGCCAGCGGCGTCAGAAAATGGTGTCCGGTAACTGTAAATTGCCTGGAGATTTTGTGCCGTAGGTGATGCCAATCCAATTAATCTTACTTAACCTAACTTAATTAATGTCAAATGAAAAATTTTCAGCGATAAGGTCGAGAAACTAGGGCGCACTTGAGAAAGTCTGCAGCCTTACATTCTTTGGTGGCTCGGGAGTCCGGGATCCAATTATTTAATTAATTAATAAAAATGTTCACAGTGAGAGAATTCAGCTGCTTTGGCGGAGGCCTGCGCTCTCTGAGTGCTCTAGTTGTTTTTAAAATTAACCCCTTTATGCTGCGTTACTATGCGTTGCGTTGTAAGCGTTTCGTTGCGTCGTTGCATTTCATGCCATCGCGGTGACCGCCTATCGTAAGAAATAATCAAAAAGCAATTCTTGGCAGGTGTACGTCTTTTTCTGGGAAGTTCTCATACATCGATGACAACGATCTTTCTGTGGTTTCCGATGTTGTTGCTAGAGAACCATGGAGCTCTAGCTACCTTCAACGCTTAAATAAATACAGGTATGTTTCATGTTAATTGTACTTACCATGTTTATTACTTAGACAATATCTCGAACTATTGAATGCAAAAAAAAACATTTTACTACGCCCTCCACATTCTATCTATAGCAAAGAAAACCACAAGTATGAGGTTTGCGGACAATTACATGGTGAGCTGACTGTGGAAGGAGAGCCGGAGAAGAAGCTGCTGTTAAGAGGAGTCAGGGAGCATGCATGGGGCATCCGAGACTGGAGCACATACAACAGATACATTGCTAACTGGGGATATCTCGAGGTTAGCAGCTTGTTTCCCCTCTTAGTGTTCTCATAGAATGATACGCAAATTACGCGCCAGTGGCGCCATTCCATTCGAATCGCGCGAAATGGTATTTCTGATAAATCACTAAGATATTCCCATCATTTTATTGCCAGATACTGTTAACTAATGTATAAATGTCGAATGTCATTTTAATCTTTGTACGCGAAACCCCGACAGCGTGCATGTTTTGATTTTCACGCTAATAGTTCACTACTTGTAAAAGGTTCTCCACGACAACTTGTCGATATATTAATTATATTATTATTTTGTTGAAGGATGGAACATTCTTCTCCTTTTTGGCAGCAAGTCTTCCCTCACTTGCTTCCCAGTAAGTACAAGTTCCAGTTTCATATGATATGATATCGGTATAAAATATAAGTATTCATGATAAACACATATAGCTTACTTGCTTCTAATAATATTTCTACTTAACTTGATATTTTATACAATCCAAAGATATATTCA